TTCTGGGACGATGCAATCGACAAGCTGCCTGAGCGTGGCGTCGAGTAGTGTATGGTGATGGTGCATAGATTCAATCTTCAGGCTGGTTCGCTGTTCAGATATTTACAAAAAAGCCGGGGAGAAAACTTATGCAACAACCTAATAGAAAGCATTGGGAGTGTCTGCGGTAGCACATTTTTCAGATAATGTCAACTCATACGAACAATGAAGAAGAGCACCAAGTAGCGTAAGGATAAATCTACAAGCATTTCTGTCTCATAGCACTTAATATATAATTTTATAATATATAATTTTATCTTAGGGCGTTTGCTTGCTACACTTCTTCGAACTAAAAGTGTGAAATTTCCTCAAAACGTTCCGGAAAACCTAACATTGAAGCGTCGGAGCCGTAAATTTGCATTTACCAATTGTATGGGCTGGTCACATTTGTAAATTGGGGACGCAATACCTTTTCGAATCAGTGCATGGAAACCATGACACAGCAGAACTTTCGACGGCCCTGAATTAGTAAACAGCAATTTGGAAAATAATCAATGGAAAACGGGACACAAAATAGCTGCCTAGAGCGGCGCACCTGCGCCCTGGGGATCGTGCGACATTGACGCTCTCCGTTCCTTTCACTGCCCTCCCTGCGCCTTCTAGACTGATGCATTTTAGCGCGATTGAACAACAAGAATTGGTTTCTGCCTGAGCAAGTAATTTCATAATCATTCAATGCATCCATCATCGCTGAGCCTCAAATCTATTTCTTCATTTCCTATAAAAACGTGCATATCCCATGACAATTTGCGGTCGGATGCCTCGTCAGGCAGTCCTACCTAAGAAAACGACATTTTCGCAAATTGAAAACCATAGTCGAGGATTTCAAACCTCCTTATTTCACGAAAGAAGTCACTAGAAACCCACCTTCGTTAAATTTTCCATCAAAGTGGATTTCATTATTTTTTAGTCTACAATCAGGTTTGAGGGATTGTAATTTGAAAAAAAAAATGAAAATGAAACCTAATTACTCAGTCAGCGCTAAAATTCCAATCGAGTTCTCGATTGGAGTGTTGGTACCAGGGCGCATCATTAGTTAGGGATGGTCGAGTCCGTACGATCCCCCCCCCCCGGTTTCCTCCTCGAGTGGGGGGGAGTAAATAACACATCTGAAACAGGAAAATCCACGAAAAAAATCAGAAAAATCAACAACCTCTTTCCCAGAAAGCTAGGAGCCAAATACGACATCCCCTTTCATAGCGTCCCTGAAACAAGAAAAATCAGCTATCAGAAAAATTCTTCTCCCAAATGCGACCCTGTTGGCAAATTAACTCTGCCCTGGTTCGTGCATAGCAGGAGTTGCTACTAAGTAAAAAACGAAGCGAGGGCACGTCACATGCGAAGGCTGCGATCGAGTCTGTTTTCTCATTGGAGCGATTCATTGCTTTTTTCGCTCCCCTGCTCGAATCCAGCAGTTTTAATTTCTGCTCATAGGTTTGGAGCTTCAAACTTCAACACTTCTGAGACTACAAATTAGGACAGTGACTTTGGCCTGACCGTGCAGGTGAATCCCTTGGCAATCAGTTCCCAGTATTAAGTCACCGTATTAAGTCACCCTTCCTTAGTGAGGCTTTTTCAGGTAATCAGTGGTATTGTGAGTGTTGTGCTTTCATACGCTGACTTATTAGGTTGTCCGGAAAGTTCTCAGCGTTCTGGGTTCTGGGTTTCACTTCAAACTGTCGTAACTTTTCTAATACTCATCGGATTTAATCGAAATAGGCACCATTCGAATCAGCACACTTTTGCCAGTGTGACAGCAGTCAAGAAATTCCATCAAAGTAAAAACTGGGTGGTCGAAAAGTCACTAAATCCACTAAGGCTTTTTTGCCTGGTCCTGATTGATGAAGTATTTTCCAGCAAGGGAGTTCTGAAAATGTTAGAAAAAGGTGATAGTCGACTGGCGACAATTCGTTCAAATTATGGATATTGATTTGTAAAACGTGTGGGCGGGCGTTGTCTTACAAAAGAATCGGACCCTTTCTGTTGACAAGTGTTTGCTGCAGCTGACAAAATTTTTGGTTTATTTCGTCGATTCCTTCACAGTAGGGTTCTGCCTGCAAATGGTTTCGCCTGGTGATGAAAAGTTATAGTGGATCACACCAGCCGATGACCACCAAACTGTGACCAGAATCTTTTTTTCGTGAGGGGTCGGCTTTGAAAATTACCTCGGTGGTTCGTCGAAATTCAGCCACTGGCCGGAACGTCTCCTGTGGTCATACATGATCCACTTTTTATCACAGGTGACAGTTCGGCCCAAGAACAGGACGTTTCAAAAGCAATGCAGAAGGAACCTCGAGACGTGCCGATTCCTGCCAGTCACTCCGATTTTGGGGCACCCAATTGTCGAGTTTTTTTCACCTTCCCAATGCATTCCAGACCATCTGCATCAGTGAATTTGCCAAGGCCTAGCTCATCTGCTATCTCTCGAACTGTTTGGGATGGGTCAGCCTCCAAAACCCCCCCTAAGATCCTCGCCAGATATTGCTTAAGTCGACCGCTGTGAGGTTTATCTTCAAAGTTGAAATCTCCAGAACGAAATTTGTTGAGCCATTGCCGCACAGTGCTTTTTCCAGCACTGTTGGGCCCCCACACCTGGTTAATTTGTTAAGCCGTTTCGATTGCGGATTGCCCCAATTTATAGTCGAAGAAAAAAATTGTCCGAAGTGCTCTTCTCCCATGCTTGAAAAAATCTTGAAAAAAGGGGGTTTTTTAAGCAATGGTAAAACGGCAATTATACCATCGGATAGCGCAAGAAATTCTCTACAGGATGTGTTACTGAGAAGCAAGGCAGAATGCGTTTCAATCAGCAGTGAACGTACAAAAAATAGGTGCACAAAACGCTGAGAACTCTCCGGACAATCTAATATTTGCCCGGGAGTGTTCCCCAATAGATTTGGCTTTGATTTCCCAGCAAGGATCACTGCAAACGAGGAATTCCTTTCTGCAAGCAGAGCTTGCGCACCATGCGCTTCAATAAGTGACTACTAGTGACGATCTTCCATTAACGGGAGATATTGAATTATATTATGTTTCATCAGCTGGCTGAATAAGTGCTGGTTCCTCTGTGAATTGTGAGGTGGATTCAGTATAATATCTTTATCTGACTGGAGAGCATCTTTCTAGCAGCGCAAATATCTATTTCCAGCAGCTCCTTTTCATTCCTTCAGTCTCTTCATTTTGGCAGCGTCGGTCAAAGTCCGCATTCGGTTCAGTCGATAACTACGTCTTCGAGTCTTATTAACTTAGAACTGAACATTCGATGGATTGATTCTAGGGTTTCCGCAGTTTAGATCATGGTCGCGGCACCCTTCCTTTCCACACTGTTTTCAATAATTGTTCAAATCCTGGAGGGGCTGAATTTAAAGGGACGACCACGTTTTAGTTTCACGCTGACGGACTTATTTCCTTTGGGTTGACAATGTCTTTAAATGGTCTTGAATGGTATTTTGGTCGGCTTGAAATAGTTCGATTGGAACAACCGCTTCGAGGCAGTCGTGTAATCTCTCCTCCATGGCGATGACATTTTGTTCACAATACAACTTCGACTTAATTGTAGGAAGGGGCAGAACAGTGCAATAAAATTGTAGCGCTACCAATGAAAAAGTTGTTGTCTTTTTTGTACAAGGTACACCCGAAACACCCACCTATACTTGTCGGTCACCTGGTATGTTACACAGTTATTGTACCAATGTTCATTTCACTTTCAGTTCCTCTTTTCTGATGTGTGTTTTACCACATGCATTTTGACTGAGCGTCCACATTACAACCTCCCTTATTTTTGCGTCGACTCCATCCTTCGTTATTTCGTCAAATCTATCTCAGTGAGCAGTCACCGGAGTTGACAGAGTAATGGAGGTTCATCCGAGACGAGCACGAAGTGAACCATCTTTGTTTTGTAATATCTTTCCAATGCATCTTTTTTTCCTTCATTTGACGGTCGTATTCGTAATAATTTTTGGAAATTTTGGCTCCATATTTTAAATGAATTTTTTCTGACCACCAGTGATCCACTCGTAATAAATGAGGTAAGCCTTGTTTTAGCAAGGGGCTAACCGCACCATCCAAGATAATGTTTGCTTTGCTGTAAGTTTGTTTCCAACATTTTGAAACGCTAAATAGGTGCCGCTCTTGATCAATTCCTAAGGACGGGCCCATGTTGAACTTGCTTTTACAACCTCTCCAAAGGCATCAGTCACTACGAAACTTTCTACATCTCTATTACAAAGACATTTGCTCGTACATACGTGTACGAAGAGGTGAGCAGTCCCTGACAAGTCCATTTTGCCGTAGCAGCCAGTAGTACTTACGCATCATGGGACCTACTAAGATCTCCTGGATTCTCGTGACATGTTCAGTTTGTCTGAAACAAATTTTTTGCAGTAAAATCCAGTACCAATGAGCGGTATATGCACCCTCATCACCACCTACTTTTTGCCAGCCATCAAACAAAGAATGGTTGTTTCGCTTGCAGGAAATTTTGGTTTGGTGCTGAGAAAGGCCTTTGGATCATTTCTGAGGTGCTTTTGAGAACTGTTCTTCGCTCAGAAGATGGCTGGGAGGGAAGGGCTAGCTGAAATAGCTGTCAGAATGGACTACGTCAGAGCCCTGCGACGGCGCAGAAGATTTTCCCAATCGAAGATCGAGGGAAATACCAACTTTATGAAAGCCAAGGTTCACTGGTTTTCCACGACATGTGGTCCTTGGTTGTCGTGGGGCAGGTAGATGTTCTCGACTTGTGGAGACATGCGTTGAAACTCCCTACGTGATCAACGGCAACAGAACTCGCTAACTATAGCATTGTTCTACGAACGCCTCACAACATGCACGGCGTTGTCTTCCATCTGGACTTATAGAATTGTGCTCGTTCTTCTTATTCAATGGAGCAAAAATTTTCTTTTTAAGATAAGAGAGACGATAATCGACGAAAATCCGAGAAAAATGCGGGATGTTGGTCAAAGTCGATGGAGCAGAACAAGTCTCAGAAACAGTTCAAAGAAAACACTCAGCAATTTCAAGCTTCGGAGCGTGCACCGGGGTTTGACATAACTGCCTGCGTCGAAGAACGGCGAGAAGACACGCGCAAAAACGTTCCTGTTACAACTATATGGAATAGCGCTCATGTTGCCGAACAGAAGGAATTGTTGGAAGAGGTGAGCGAATAACTCTAGTTGGTTTGATAAATATTACAGTGCAAATTTCTCTTATTGTGCGTCGAGCAGATGGAACCAGTCATTCCTTCTCCTATCGCAAGACCTACTCCAGGATCCATATCTGTAGCTTCATGTTCTCCTTCGACGTACCACGATTTAGTCAGGTAAAGTGTTAACGTAGCCTTTCGAGCGGTACCGGTGAAAGTTATTTTACATACATTGACGGACCGAATGTGCATCCGGAACACTAACACCGACTGGTCTCAAGCCCTGTAGCTTCGGAAACCTTCATATCGCCGTGCATGGGATCCCAACCATCAAAGCTGACGTATAAGGGCGATTCAGGGGCGGGGAGCGTATCGTGAGCTAGAGCGTCGTTTTCCAAATAGCCAGACGGGCAACTTCTTGCAAAGAACTGCAAGTGCTCTCAAATTTCTGCGACCACGAATGGTCTCATCCTTAGAACGGTGGAGGCAACGATCGAGAACTTGGTTTCCCTTGTAGTTACGCTTGCTAGTGCGTGTCATATGCAAGATTTTCCCTCTATGGTCGACCCATCCTTCCGCTAACACTGAAGCCTGCGTATGAATCTTTTGCCGCACATACACTACATACAGTTGCTTCATCTACTTATTCCAGTCAATACCACCTCAGCAGAGCATAGGCCCCAATTCAAACAGGGCAACATCATTTAATCCGCTTTCTCAACGAGTTATGGCGTGTAACCAAACCGAAACAGTCTCCTACTGCACCAGGGCGATGAGGCGACACAAAAAGCTCATGGATCTTGACAGGATGCAACCATACTCAGCTCATTCAACGAACTTAGCAACCTCTAACAACCACCCACTTTGGTCCATACCTCATCGTTTATTAGGCAAAAATTTTGAAAATCAACCTACACTTGAGAATCAAGTCGAGCGCTTCCTTTCATCGTGGTTGCCGCATCTCTATAAAAAAGAGAGATGGGCTTTTGTCCTAGTTATTAAAGGTTATTACCTTGTACAGTGTCGCTTAGTGAAAAAAAATTTTGTCAGAAATTGTGGTCGGAGTGCAGCAGTACTTTCTTCCCAACCTAATACGTTGTGGTGATGGTGGTTCTACCTGCAGATTAATTTGTTCTATTCAGGAGGCAGGTTGTTGAGCTTCCGGTTTCGCTCTCTTCTAGCCATCCTATTTGCGCTGAAAAGTACGACTTCACCTTTGATCCACGCCTTCATGAGGTTCCTTTTACAAGTATTATGTGATCCTTGTTGTTCTCTTTCAATATTTCTCTCACATACACAGTTCTTCTCGCTTTGCTTTACCCTCACATCCTGCGATCACCAAAGAGTGTCGTTCGGAACATGGAGTGTGTCTGAAAACTGTTGTTGCATTCTGTGGTTCCTCATTCACGAGCCACACGAATGAAGCTTGTCTTTGCCGCAACTTTTTCGGCCTGTCTACTTTTGGCTCCGCCTCTATGGCCAATTTGGCTTCACAACTTTCACTCACCAAATTCGTTATGCAGTCCCACACAGGGCTGTTTAGCTAAATGCCAGCGCAAGATGGCGTCGTCATAAAGCACAAGTGTCAGAATCGCGACAAAGACCATTATCCCTATAGAGGGTTTGCGCGAAAAAATTGCCATTAGTCGCCAGTTAGTGTTCCAGATTTCAGGCCTCGGCACAGAGTTTCGATTTATGTGAAAACTGGTCTCCAGGTCTGACAACCGCGGGCACGAAGATCACATGTGCATGAAGTGCCAAGGGAGTTGAGGATGGGAGGGAAAAAAGTGGGAGGGTACAAGTGACAGCACGGGCTAGCGATAGCTATTCCTTCCTAAGCTATGGCTGAAAGTTAGCAAACGAAAGGATTGCATGCAACCATCGCAGGCAACCAGGGAAAGCTGCCTTGCCTTGTCGTGTGCTCTTACTGCCCCAGCATACCGCTTGGCCCGAAACATTGGCCCGAAACCGCGTACAGTCCGCTGCACACGTACCAAACAGCCATGTGGAGCAGGCGTTGGTGCTGGTGCCATGCGCTTTCGGGTAAAGGAGATTTGATAGTCGCATTCATGACTACCTTCTACCTCCGGTGGCAAATTTTTACCCAAATCTACTCCACGATGAAAAAAGGCGGTAGAGAACTTCCCTAGTCTTGCAAGATTGGGGCAGTAAAGATCTAACAGAGCCGAAAATCCTTTATTGATAGGTGATCTTTTGATATTAGATGTGAATTCAGTCAGACAGACCCTAGGAGCCCGTCTCTTGAATGTGGTTCTGTCTCGTTACGTGAACTTTGCGGTTTATTGATATGCAGGTAACTAAAAGATGTGATAAGAGTGAATAGAACATGTGGAACTTAACTATCTCGCGCACCAATTTTTTAACATACGCCGAAGGAGGACGGTTATTTCACAATCTGTATGGGATCGTTCAGGGGTCGTATGCTGCACTTCACCTTAGCATGGATATATTCCTGCAGTCCTCCATTCTCTGCCGTTACTCACTGCCCCTCGTATCTCTAGCTCTCGCCGCTCTGCATCTATACTCTTTTGGCGCATGCTCTATGCGAATATAGTGCGTTGCAGAGTATAACTGATATGCTCCACTCTTCCCCAGCTCATGTCGTCATGGGAGTGCCGCGAGAACGGGTGAGCAAAGATGCAGAGAGGGAGAAGCAGAGAGACGAGGGCATCGATAGAGACAATGGCATAGAGCATAAGTTTACTGGGAATATCTTCTCTTCGAGGAAAAGTGTAGCATACAAAACCAGTGCACAACAAATGGAGGGGAAGGAGGAAAAAATTCGCTTCTGGCTAGGCATCACAACATGGTAGTCAAGTGTTCGAATCTTCGTAGAGTGAGCACGACTTCCTCACGAAAAACGTTTGTTTTATCCGTCATTCATTCTTTTAACCAGGAATTGCGCCAGTTGCTCTCCTGCAACCAACAGCTGTCGGTAATTGGAACAGTGAGGTTATCCTCCGTAGGAACAGTGTTTTCTTTGATGGGAGGCCTGTACTTGAGGACATGTTGTGGTTAGTTGTTACCTACAACGCTGAGCGGCGCAGAATCAAGATGTTAGGTTTGCCGGAAAGTTGTGCATGTTTTTTTGAGTTTGAGACACTTGATCTCAATTTCAAAAGGTCTTTTCGGCAATATCAAAGACATTTAAGGTTATTCTTTTCTTGGCGCCACTCTGTTTTTTTCTGCACCTTTTTTCATTTGCAATGCGGGAAACAATCACGTCTTGCACAGTCGCACCTGCGCAATGTCAAACTTTACTTCTACAACGCTTACTCGGGCATGAAAGCTGCAGGGCTCCAAAGTGCGCCCAGTTAGCAAACAATCTTCCGCTGGTGCCAACACTCGAAACTTGAAACGTGTAGTCTTGGAACTTGAACAGGGTCTTGACCTCCATATGTACTCAGCTAGACGAGGCTGCGACTTGTGAAGAACATAGCAACACATGTTATTACTGTCTCCCAATACCCACAGCAGCCGCAAGACTTCAAACAACTCGTCCACTGTGAGAAAAGCCAAATCGGAGCTCATGCAATATGGCTCAATTGTTCTCTCAAGTCCCCCCTATATCCTTTTGATCATGCCTCTCCGTAGAAGATCTACGGACTACGTGAAATCCATCTGATTACATCAGTTTTCTCTTTTATCCACACTTTCGTCTGCACGGCACTCTATGACAACTGTGAGCCCACACATTGCAGCTATTCGATGCATTTAGGTGGTTCACCCACTCCAAAGTCCCCTCCTTTTCCAGAAGCGCTCAAACTCTTGCCTGTGTTTTTGTCAATAGGATGATTTTCGAAAAATTAAGTAGTCACGTAGCCCTTGAGAGAGCATTTTGGATGCTGCAAAAGGAAATATGACGTGATATTTAAGCAGGAAAGAAAGAAAGCAACGAACGAAAGAAAGAAAGAAAGAAAGAAAGAAAGAAAGAAAGAAAGGAAAAGAAAGAAAGAAAGAAAGACAGACGACAGACAGACAGACAGACAGACAGACAGACAGACAGACAGACAGACAGACAGACAGACAGACAGACAGACAGGAAAGAAAGAAAGAAAGAAAGGAAAGAAAGAAAAGAAAGAAAAGAAGAAAGAAAGAAAGAAAAAGCGAAAGAAAGAAAAGAAAGAAGCGAAGAAACAGGACAGAATCTTATTGGAGATCGCTAATAGAGTCAGCAAGCTCAACAGCGGAACCGACAGCTCCAACAACAGTTTCAACAGCTAACCAGCAGCACTAATAACTGGTTGAACAGGGAGCCAACAGCTTCAGCAATGCAGCAGCAAAATTGCCAATTTACCGGCTTCTGGCAGTACTCGTCGGACAAAAGGCAGGATGTGCACAGTAATCCACAAGATCTCCATCTTCAGATGTCCATGGTGATCTAGTGTGAGACCTATCCTGCTTGAGCTGTGATGAAGTAAACGATTCGACGTTCCGTGCGCGCCTCCCACGGTACGATGCTGTTATCGATGACCAAGGATGCTTCGGACAGACGTAAGCGTTACTTTATTATTGACGCTGGACAAAGCAACGCTGCTATTGAAACCGTGACCAGACTCGTCGGACAAAAGAAGACTCTCATTCGCCGTCGGTTCGAGTTCCTGCAACATTCTATCCTCCAATGAGCGGAACGCGTAGGCCCTCTGATCTGGAAACATGATCAAGAAGCAGTTCGAGGAGGCATGCCGAATCACTGAAATGTAACACGTTGATGACGAGCCAATTTTTCATGAATTGCGCGTGGAACGGCACATTTTTCTGTGTTGTTTCTGTGTTTAGTAATTTTCAAACATGTGAATGACTACGATCAAAATGTACCAGGAGAAGCTAGGTCAGGTACGAATCTCGAACCTTTGACGGAGTTTAGCTTTTATTGCCCCAGTCTTCCAAAATCAGGCCAGTTTTTGCCATTTTTCTCTGGAGGCAGGTTTGACCAAAAATCCATTTTTCTCTGGAGTCAGGTTTGACCAAAAATATGTCTCCCAGGTAGTTTGACCGCCTGAGGACAATATCATATCCGCTTGGCCCGAAACTGCTTAGCCCGACCCCCAGGTGTCACGTTGACGACGAGGTGTTTGTATGATTGCACATGCATACATACTATGTTGATTGGAAAAAATTCGAAGACAAGCCCAGAAATTTTATTCATATTTGATTAGTGTCAATATAAGATTTTTATAACTACTAGGTTGGAAGGGAAGTCCTGCGACCCTTTAAATAAGTGCTTTGAAAAAGTCAAAATACATTTTGAATGTTTTCACTCACGGTTAATGGGGAGTGTTCTCTAGGCTTTCTGCAGATGAGTATGTTATGGCTTTGAGGAAGCTTTCCAAGCTTGAAATATCCTCAGAGGTCAAGGTACTTTCTGACCTATCCATGGTATGGATCCCTGTAGGACTACTTTGTCGTGGTCGAGGGAACTAACCCCCGCATTTCAGGAGGGACATCGCTTGCCAAGGCACATCTCGTTTGTATCAGCGCTTGCGAGCTGGCGTTATTTCATTCAAAGGTAGGCAACTTATAGGTCGGCTACCAGCACAGAATGGCTGCCGTTTATTTGATATTTTGAATTCGCGGCCGAACGTAACACCAGTATGCTGGCAACATCTCTTAGCTTCAATTGACAACTGCCATGCCTCTCCGCAATCGCGGTTATCAGAATGATTTTCTGTGATCAACGCCACATGTGTTGCCCAGTCTGCCAAGACGCAGTGGATTCTGAAAGTCTTCTTTGCACGCACTGAAAAGGCTTTTCGCGAGACATTGTGATTGGTAACTAAATTATGCACATGTCCTTCACAAGATCTCTCTAGGGGTAAAATTGCTCGCTCGGCCAAGATCATGAAAAAATGGTTTCGCTGTGTTACTGGTGAGGCTCAAAAGCGATGTCGGTGGATGGTGGCCCAGATCAGCGGCCACAGTCTATTCTAACCAGCTTCAAAACACAGATGACGTCGTGCCTGATTTCATTCACAAACTCTCTGTTTCTCTCTACTCCTCGACAATGCGAAGGCAGCATGAGGGGGTGAAGTTACGCCAAGTGACTATGCACCTCGATCAAGGAATGGAACCGTATCCAGTTATTTACCAAACTTGAAAGCCTCTGACCACCACCCAAATTGGTTTGATCGATCGTAGCGATCGCCGCGATCGTCGGTACTCGACAGAGCGCGCCGCAGCGCTATTACTTGAATCGATCGCTTTGATGAATAACTAAACCAACTTTTAAGACGTTTTCT